CTAATGACAAATAATAATAAAAACAAGAACAGCTAATAAAATAAAATGTTTTTTTTGAAACCACAAAAAAACTTGGGAGATAGACCGTGAAAAGTTGACCTGATTAAAATGTTTCACATTGAAATTTCTCTCATTTCTAGAGACTGAAATGAGGAGAATCAGCAAACGCTGCACCCTTTCAACAACAACAAGAACAAGAACTGCTTTTTGCTTTGAACTTTATTCATAATCCTCATGTACCAGTTACTAGTGCATTCCTGGCCTTGCAGTTCGGTAAATCCTGTGATGGAGGCCTCTCAGGTTTGAATGTTGAATGAAAAATGGCCTCTGGGAAGCGAGGCGACACAAAAGCGCGGTCTGAGCCCCGTCCTCCCCGGCGTGTCGTCCGCCCTGGTCGAACCAACGGGCTGAAGGCGTGAGGCGCCACCGGTGCCACGGTGGGCGGTCACTCAGCCGGGGCCGCCGATCGCTCTGCAGTCTCTCTTAGCCGTTGTCGTTTCCCCTCGACGGGACGAGAAATACCAACAAATACAGACACAGTCACGATGCAGCTCTGAGGAGGAGCTCTAGTAAAACTCTCTTTTCTATCTCTTCTCTGTAGATAAAGGAATTCAGTAAAGTAAAGCTTTTCACAACCATAAAACTTTCCATTTCTGTAATTTTTTTTTGTACATTTGTATTACATATTCACAAAAAACTACTTTGACATTTGACAAACATTTACCTTGAATGACATCAAAAGTAAAAAGAGCATAAAAAATTGAAATAAACAAAATAAAAATAATTGAATAAATAACACAGCCATTTATTTAGTCTATTTGTTTTTTCCCCCCCCCGTTGTGCTTTTTGTTTTCAAAGCCACACTGACAAAGAGATGAGGAGTCTCTGTTTGCACACGCAGCTCGTTGTTGGATTATTTATTATTATTTATTATTTTACTCGCCATTAACAGCCTCAGAGTCAGCGCGGTCAGTAAGCAACAAACCTGCTCAGTGTGCAGCTAGTTAACCTTTCTCTTACACCATGAGCTAAGATGACTTCAGCACAGCCAGACGAAAACAAGATGATGAGCCGGAGCCGTGGAGAGACGACAGTGAGGGGGACACCGGTCCCCGCGGGACCCTGTGGGAGAGGAGACTCAGCTCCAGCAGCCATGGAGACCGAGCCTCCTGCTGCTGCTGATTTATCTCCTCTGGGAGGCAGAAGACATAAACACACGGCAGAGAGCGCGCAGGAGCAGAACGGTTTCTGCATCTCACGTCTCAATCCCAACACAATGTTTGGATGTTGCAGCTAAAGCTGACAGGCCCCTGCAAAAGTATCAGACCTGCTCACGTTGTGTCAAAAGCGCAAACCCGATGATTTTTAATTGAGATTTTACGTGATAGACCAACACAAAGCGCCGCATGATTGTGAGGTGAAAGGAAACTGGTACAAGGTTTTCAACAGTGTTACAAATAAAAAATTAACGAGAGACGCAAGCAGTTATTAGCGGGTTCCAGGCCCTTCCCAGCAAATCTGGCCCTCGCTCTGTCCTTCACATCCTGCCAGCCTGGCTTCACTGTGATCTAAAAAGTATTCGTTTTGTGGGTGCATTCACACCAGCCCAGTTCAGTCTGCTTCAATCAAACTCCAGGTCGCTTGTCCAGAAAGTCCCGTTTGTTTGGGGAGGTGCGAATGTGCAATCAAACTCTGGTCAGCCTACAAACCTGGATCTCGGTTCAGTTGAAGTGAACTCTGGAGCAGTTCGAATGCATGTGTGGAGACCGATTCAAAAGCAGGAAGTGGACTCCAGTGCAGGGCATTCTGGGTAAATACAACAAAAGCAAACATGAGAGTCGAGCTTTTGGGGGAGAAATGGCTTGTGGTCTTTTGGCTAACACGAAAGAGAAATCCTACGCTAGCGGTTCATTGAAGGGCGTTAATTGAACAAACAGCATCATGGAGACCGAGGAACTCTGTTAACAAGTCACGCTCTCCACAAATCTGATCTTTAGAGAACATCAAGAAGAAAGCCGATAGTAAAAGAAAACTTTAAGAAGTCCCGATTCCGCTTCAGAACTATACTCTAGTTTGTGTTGGACTATCACAGAAAATACACTGAACTCTGTGCAGAAAATGAGCATAATTACAAGAGGTATGAATACTTTTGCAAGGCTGTGTGTAATACTATTATTATGTCATCATGTTAAAGTTTACAGCATTGAAACAGCTGGGTTTTTTTTTCCCTTCTTATGGTTGAAAGTGAATTCCGGCTGTCAGACTCCTTAAGGAGGACGTTTCATCGACGGCGAGATGCCTCAGCTGCAGCTCTGTTTTTGTGGACATGGTCATAAATCCCCATCATGTAGTCATGAATGATAAATGTGATTTGAACCTTGCTGCATCTTCTGCAAGGGGCTGCAACTGCTTAACTCGAGCCGACGATGGCCTACTTCCCCCGGAGCCTCCATGTACCGTCTCTCCAGAGTGCCACTGACACACTTACTGTGGGTCCTTCTCGAACTCGTACCTGGCCAATAAATCAAACTGGGAGGGCATTGTCCTTCCCAGCTTCCGATTTAATCATTTAGCTTTCAGAGCAACAATCCTCCACCTTTGTAAATTAACAACAAGCTCTATCCAGAGATATTTCATACCTCTTTTACTGTGATCACAGTCACAACCCTCTCAGTTCAGAGAAGAGCTACGCAGATTGCATGAGCAAGCATTTTAGTGGCAGCATGCCATGACAGAACGCAACAGGGCCAATAAACTCCCAGTCAAAAAAAACAAAAACAAAAAAGACTTCTCAAATAACTCTCAAGAGCCACGCTTTGCATGCGGAGCGTGGGCTTGCACAAAAGGAACGAGGAAATCTGGGTTCCACCGCCCCAGAGAGGAGAGGAATTCAGGTCATGCTTTCACATATGATCGATTGAGCCCCTGGCCGGAACCGCGCCGGACGATTTAAACCTGCAGAAAAGCTATCAGAAAAAGAAAAAAAAAGCGATATCAATGATTCAGCTTCATGAGCCACAACAGAAGCAAGCGGCAGAGTTTTGACAGCCAGTAATGGATACGCACTAACTTATACCGTCAGTAGTTTCGGATGCTAATGTCGCATGCCCTCACAGCCGCGTTTGTCTATCAGCACGACGCAAACTGAAAGCAGGAGGAATCTCAAATGGCTCTCTTCTTGGACAGCGGAGTGCCTCGGCGCTGTGGTTGGGACCGATGATTGAGAGTGTTTTCCCTGCACTAACGCTGCCCGGAGTCTCCTCAGTGTCTCAGCAACCACCGGGAAGGCTCGGCGTTAGCGGGAAAAGGTCGGGCCGTTTGGAAATGCGAGTCCAACGAGCCGACCCGGGTTTGATGAAGCTCCTGAGCTCAGCCTGAGCTCATTGGCTGTTTTCCGTCGTGACATCATTCATGGAGAACCGGGAGAAAGAGGAAGGCCTCGCGCAATCTCTCCAACATGACAGCCACGTCACGCGATCCGCGAGAGGCTTCGGACAACAGATTCAAGACACACTGCACTGTTTCTTCCTCTCGCCACAACAGCGGACCGGACAACAGCCAGAACCGCGTGAGAATTTTGCCTCTGTGCTGCAAACAAACATTTCACGTACGACTGACCGTGACGGCAAAACTAAAAACCCTAACCAAGGAGTTACAAACACTTGAATTAGCCCTTGAATTGAAAGAACAGTCTAGAAAGTGAGATGCATGGCAGAGAGGTCGGGCAGAGAAATGACAGATCGGGAACAGAGGCAGCTTCTTGTCGCCAGCCGGTCTGAAGTGGGCTCTGTTCGGTCGTGGTGTACAATCAGAATGGGATGCGATCTTGATATGTCTCACAACCGTCATGCTTCACGCTGTCTCCCTGCACACAGACCCCTGCCCTCCTGCCAGTGTGGTCCAGCTTCCCGAGCCCAAAAGCTCTCCTGGAGAATTTGGGGTCGTGGAGAAACAAGGCAGAGAGAAAAAAGAGAGAGGAGCAAGAAAGCAGGAAGTAAAAGCATGTTCTGCTCTTTGAACGTGTACTAAACCAACCAAATGTTCATGGTTCATGTGCGGGTCTTTGAAGCTCCTTTTTCACTCCGGCACAAGGACGGTTTCTATGAGTATATTACAGTTTTGTCTCTCGTTTGTTTTTGTTGTTGATTTTCTTCGTGTTAGGCTGCTGATTGTGTCCAGGGAGAGAAGCCAAAGCCCCCGAGGGAGAAACCGAGAGGAGAGAAGAGGAGAAAGTAGCAGACAGTTGTTGATATGTGCCCCGTTTGTGTGTCACCAGCTGGGTGGTTGGGTCTGTTCCGTCTGTGCTGCTGTCAGGAGTCGGAGGAGGAAGAGAAAGAGGAGGAGGAGGGGGAGAGAGGAGGAGAGAGGAAGGGGTCAGCAGGATTGCCAAAAGGGTCAAAGGGAACAGGAGGGCCAGGAAGCTGGACGGGATTAGCCCTGGGTCTCTTTGCCGCTTTCCCGTTCTCGCTGTCCACTCTTGCTCATCTTCATCTCTGTCAGCTGGATGTATCTAAGCACGTTGGTGTCTGAAACGGACGGAAAACATGATGCATGAGAGCAAGAACATCAGCTTTAATGTCTAAATCCAGGCTGTTTCCCCCCAATGCAGTTAACTCTATCAATCTGTCAGGATGCCAGTAATAAAAAAATACACATTATATCAGATCTTTCCTTATTTCACATGTTGATAAATATTTATCCATTCCTAACGGCGGTTAGGAATGGATAAATATTTTGATTATTATTTGTATTTTTCTCTGCATTTATTCTTGATTATGCTCCCATAAATCAGTCTACTTAGCGTAATTCAGACTCACCTGCAGGTTCGCGGTTCTTAGCATCGCGCAGGTAGCGTAACGCACATTCATAATCCCCCAGGTGATAGAAGGCAATGCCGGCCCGGTACATGGCTTTAAAGTGGTCCCTCTGGTGGCTCAGCACCTTCAGACAGTACTCCTTCACTCTCTCGTAGTTCACCAGGTCAGATTGTAACAGGCAGGCTGCAGGAAGAGCACAAGACAGGAACAAAAAAAAAAAAAACCTGAATCAAACGATTACTTTGGAGCAATTAAACAACGAGTTCCTCCCAGCCTGCACGGCTGTACCACAGTAAACTTCTCCTCTTCAGTTCATCCTCTGGGTGGCGGTGACTATAAATAGTGATGTCTTAGAGAGCATGGAAAAGAGAAAAGAATCATGCAAGCAATTTGAGCCCCCAGGCAGGAGCTTGGTGTCTCTTTTATTTATTGTTTTTACTGAACTTGTCATGCAGAACAGAACAGAGGAGAGGAGTGAAACTGCAGCTACAAGACGATGCAGACAGTGAGGAGGCTTTTTGTCTCGTGTCACAGTGTCAGAGTCTGGCACCAGGAAATAAAAACAGAGAAGAAGAAGAGGACGTGCTCAGTGAATTATGACATGCCGTGTTTTACTGTAGTCATCAGCCCTCCAAATCAAACTAGCAATTCTCAGCAGTTCTCAGATCAGCTCAGGCCAGAGTAACTTTATTATGAAAGAGACACGAGAAAAGTCAAACACGGCTTTCAGTCCATCAGAGCTCTTAAACGCTGCTGATGGCTCAGAAATCCTCCGCTGGTCACAACCACACAAGCTTTCACTTCCGGCAGCTTCCCTCCACCGCTCCCTCTGTCTCTGCCAATTAATCTGACGAGACGTAAAAAAGATGGAAAATGAAAATCCCACTTGTACTTCCTCCATTTTCACTGTAGTGTCCCCGTACAGCAGTCCCACCCATCTTCCCCCTTTTCTCCTTTTTGTCCTTGACACGTCTGTTAAAATCATGAGTTAGGACGCTTAGAGGCAGGATGAGTCAGGAGTGAGAGACGATGTGCGGGAGGCTGGGGTTAAAGCAGGGGAGAGGAGGTGACACCTGTGGAGGCGACTAGGTGAAGGGGAGCAGAGTCGCGCAACCCAGCACCCTCATTTTGAAACAGTTTGTGGATTTTTTTTTAATGAAATGAAGGAGACTTTTGCAGTATTGAAACTTCTTAACTTTTCCCACATTTTATGTTGTGTAAAACTACAGACCTCGGTGAGATTTTATGTGACAGAGCCGTAAAGCATAATTAAAGAGAAAATGATACGTCAGCGTGAGCGCTTTTCTCTAAATAGATTCTGGAAAGTTAGGTTTGGATTTAGGCTGCAGTTGCTACCAAGGAGGTCTTAGATTTAGGGGGATATTTATCAAAATTGCACAACCAGAGAGACTGAAAAAAATCCCCACTTTTCTATATAAAACCTGGGTTTAGGTCTGGACTTTGACAAAGACATTCTACCACATCGATATTCGTTGATGTGAGTATTTTCACTGCAGTTCTGACTGTATGTTTGGGTCATTGTCCTGCTGAAAGGTGAATCATTTAAGCAAATTGAACCAGATTTACTGTCAAAAGCTGGAGAAAAGCGTCCACACATCATGTCCATGAAAGTGGTTAACATCAAATCCAGTTTGATTTTGACATTGACTTTAGCTGGAACTGGACAAAATGAGTGAAAACACAACTAACGTCTAACTATGTAGGACCCAAAAGATAAGAAAATCTTTTTAAAAAAATCCAAGAACATTGGACTCATTGGAGGCAGAATAAAAAAAAAAAAAGGAATAATTTAAGACTTTTTTACAGTACTCTGGCACATTTGAGGCAGTTGTTGTTTTCAAACAAATAGCAGCACACATAAGTTCACACACACACGCGCGCACGCACGGCTTTAATAATAACCGGAACATAAAGAAAACCTGACACTTCTTATTTCCAGAGAGGCTGATGACTCAGCCAGGAGCAGAGCAGGAAGGTCAAAGATGTTTTCCCTCTTTAGTGAACATAAAGCCTGCTCACATTTACTACAGCGGGACTCACCTCACACGCCCTCTACCTGTCCTGGATGCCTCCTCACACACTCCACCGCTCTGTTTGTTTTTATCACCATCCAGCAATCACCAGGCCGCTCCTCGCTGCACTCCCATCCATCATCTTCCCGCAGCAGCGACGGGGAGCTGAGCTTTCAGAGGATTCAGTTACAGCCTGTAATGGTTTTAATGGCTGACTTAGAGGTTTCACTCACACTGACACACTGATATACAACCAACACACACCTACAGCGCATACAAGCAGTGACAAGTGATACAAACGCGCAATGAAACCGTGAAAACGTCCACCCGTGCCAGCGTGGTTCAGCTAAAATATGGACTCAGCTACAAAATCTGGACAAAAGCAGGTGACTTCAGGATGGCTGTAGAGATCAGAGGCAGGACAAACAAACACAAGCCACAGATTGCACAAGTGATGACTGACTGGCCGCACCCAGTTGGCCCATTAGGCAGATGGATGGAATGCCAGAGGAAATGTAGAGTGTGGCGGGATGCATTAAGGATATGATAATGATGGGATCATCGGACCAGGCCTGGCAGGGACACAGGCCCAGTAAACATAGCAGAGCGATTTCACAGGAGCCACAATGTCTCTGTCACTGTGAAAGACATGACTGTGTCTGCTATTGTACGAGACGCGTGGCAGCAGGTGATAACGGCTACTTTTCACAGAGAGAAAAAGGTTTCATTTCATTTTCACTTCAGTGCAAATTCGCAAGATGTCGTCTCAAGGCATCTTACGAAAAAGTCAATCCAATCACGCACAGATTACACTAATTCCTAGTTAAGTTACAGACAATGCATAAAAGTTAAGCATATCATTCAAATTTAAAAAGTTTCTATCTAAGGAAACCCAACAGATTGCATTGAGACACTGACTTGCCTCGTTTACTCCTCTTGGACAAATAGCAACAGGAGACAATTGCGTTGTTGACTTTACAGCAACATGAATACTCTGACTGAGTATGCATGGAGCGACAGTGGAGAGGAAAAACCTGCCAGACCATCCATTTGCCACGACCGACATAGAGCGAAAGATGGGAAATAACTGACCTCCTTTGTGGTTTTTAACAAAAGTTTTACTGACAAAAAGCTCTGGAGAAACAAAAAACTAACTCATTTCCCTTGGAAGAGAATTAGCACATTCTAAGAGTTCATTATGGTTAATGGACTAACTGAGAGAAAGCGATGTTGACGTCTGTGTGTCCTTTAAACTCTTCTAGTCAGGCTGAGGGAATGGATTCAAGGAAGGGAAATATGTAGGATGAAAAGATTTGAAATTTGGAGTAAAAAATGTTTCAGCATAAATAAGAAATTCAAAAGAGAAAAGTGAAAGTATCTGTGAAAAGATTGCGTCTTCGAGACGCCATACATCAGTTTCTTTTTGGATAAAAAGATAAAACAAGAAGCAAGTAAAGTTGAATGAGTTCAGGAGCCCCACTGGCTGCCTGAAGCATGAATCAATGTCAAAGACTGTTTGAAATAACAGATAAACAGAACAAAAAAAACAAAACAAACTGAAGACAAGCAAGACAAAGGATGGAGGGCAGAGACAACAAAATCCAGAAACTGACGGTTTTTCATCTCTTCTGTTTCTGCTCCCCAGCTCAGGATGTTTCAATCCTGACTAATTTCCAGTCCCTGCATCTCGTCATGTACTCTCCGTGGACCTGCGTCCTTCCCTCGGCCTCGCCTCACCTCCATCTTAACAGCAGGCCTGACATCACCCTCTGTCTAATTTGAAGCCACTGGTGGCCCTGGTGATTAGTCTGCTGTCCATCACCTTGTAATTAGTTCTGCTGGAAGATAATAGTAGGAGGAGAGCCCCATCACTCACTCTGGCACTTACAGCTCCTCTGTGTTAACTTCAGAGCAAAGTTCATCTCCAACCTTTATCCTGCATGGTGGCCTCTATCCTTTATAAATGCCACACTGCTGCAACAGATTTAGTTACAGAGTCAAACGAAGCGTGCATCATTGTGAAACTGCCACGCACATGTGCAGCTGACGTCACAGTTGGTCTTTCTCTAAGAATAGCTCCACCCAAAGCGGTTTTTGCAAATGTCTTTAGTTGTTATTGAGATGGATAAGGGTCACAGTTCACAACTCTCCTCAGCTCTGACAAAGCTTTTACCGGCAGCACATCATTTTAGCAGCCTTCCTTTCCTTTTTCACCCTCTGTTGAACCAGATTCCATTCAATTCGATTCGATTCAATTCAATTCAATTCAATTCGAAATACTTTATTGATCCCATAGGGAATTGCTGTAGATGCTGACGCTGTATCTGTCATGGCTGCTCAGGAAATTGTTGGCTTGCTGATAAAACCCATTCTGAATAAGAACTGCTGCTCCATCAAATACGTTTGCAGAGTTTACCCACAGTGCATCACCAGTCCTAGGAGATTAGAGAAATAGAGCAGTCCGATTATTCTGTAGGACATACATGGCAAACAGGGAGGCATTTAAATGAGCAAAGTTACTAAACTTAGCTGCTTTCAACATTTTTGTAGAACTCTTGTTAAGTGTGCGACAGTGCTGCAGGGAGAGGGCAGATCCCGAAGCAGCAGACATGCATTTTTTCTTGTTCTGGTTTTCTTGTTCTGGTTCTGAAGCTCTCATTATGCATTAGAAGTGTCCAGGTGCAGGTTGGTCTCATGTTTTCGGCTAACCATCTTGTCGCATTGTTCCACTCTCCTCAAATAGTTGCTCAGGATTAATGCTCACCTACTTAAATATTTATACGCCGGAGGAAGCTATTGGTCTGGACGACGTCAACGAGATAAAATATTTTAATATTCAATGCTTCTTATTTTAGGTTTTGGTTATATGTTCTTGTCTGTTTTTTATGGCTTAGAGATAAAATGAAAGGCAGCTTATGCAGCTCCATTAGGATTATTTTGGCAAGTATAGACCTTTATCAAAGTGGCCAAAAAAGAATCAAGAAAGATTGTCATAATTCTTGTTGCATGAGTAAAAACAGACTTCCTAATGGCACATAAATGGAGTTACATATAGCATAAGAGATATTGACCATATTTTACTCCCTGACACTGATATAATTTTATTGCAGCCATTATCTGACTGGTGATGTCATCTGTGGAAACTCTGCA